ATGCCCTTTGTGTGATCTTAACCTGCCTATGTTTTAGTTCCTTGTATACAAAAGCTTGGATAACTAAACATCCTTGGCTCTTGGAACTCTTTTCAGGGTAAATAACTACAAGTTCCGTAGGTCTCTTGAATGCTACTCACTTACCATTGGGAACCTTCAGGCATACCAGTCTGTGGATAACAGCCATGCCTAATGTTTAAGCTGTCTAGTCCTTTGTCCTTCAGGGATGCCCTGTAGCTGTACTTGGGGTGGTACAAGTTCAGCTTACCTCCTATGCAGTCAACACATTTGGTCAGGAAAGGCAGCCTTGAGGAATCCGTGAGAGCAATGCTAGTGTTAATGTAGTGGATACCATGTAGGTACCTGGGGTGCTTATTTGCACTGTAGCATTCTGGAAATATATCATGAAAACTACTTATTCAAAATCTTCACTAGACATCAACAATGTTGTTTCTTGACTCTTCAAAATAAGAAACAACAAAACAGTCTCTAAAGCTTTCCTTCTGTTTAGAGGAATTCTTCCATATCCCATATCTTTAGATGAAGAAAGCTAAACAACCTGAAATATGTTTTCATTGGAATGAGGTTTTCTATGTATTAATTTGTTTAGTTAGTAAATAAGAAAGGGCATTCTTCCAATTTAAGTAAAGATCAGGTTTCCAGATCTAGTGAAACTGCTGGGCTGATTCTGTGAAGTCATCGAAGTCTGTGAGAGGTTATTCATGTGATGTAGGCATTTTTGTCACTTCTTATTAAGGACAAGACTATATGAATTAATGAGAACTAAAGTCACTTAGGCCATAATGGAATGGTTATTCCAATTTGGTTAAAGTTACTCCTCAGGAGCATGTATGTGTGAGAATATTTGATAGTGACAAGGTATACTGTATGCAGAATTGTATTCCAAATGAAGTGGTGGATACCAGTTCCATGATTTGCTTGTAGAAATATTTTAGAACCGTGTGAAAATCACTGCTCTGGCAGATAGGGCATGCAAAGCAGTAATGAGTGACCCTCAGTATGCATGGAAAATTATCAGAAGATATGATTGATCTTTTAAAAGTATTGTTAGTCTCTTTCCTGAGGCAAAAACCAAGTCTAAGCACAGAAAAACAAATATGGAGGAAAGCTGTCTTGAGCATTATATTCTTGAAAAAATTGTTACATATGACATCTTCTCTCTTTCCTACTGGTCATTTATAGACAAGAGTTGATTTGATGAACAACTATTTAAGAATAATTGGAATTGGAATTACATGGAAATTTGGAAATGCAGTTCTTGATATGAATGTTTGAACAGAAGAATCTGAGATGGTGATGAGAACCATGAGCACCCTGAACAGCAAGGAAAAGGTACGAATATTTAAATTGTTAATTCTGAGATTTAGTCATGGAAGAACAAATATTCCTCCATGTGTCATTTGTGTTAGTGGACTTATGAATTTCTGTGGAGATTTTGTCTCCTTTTCACTCATACTATGACACTATAGAAAGCAAGGGAAAAAAGAAACGGAAGCACAGCAATGACTTGGCTGAATGTGTGGAAGACACCTCAGCATTTGGAAATTTCTCTGTGTCAGACTTTGGCAAGAACACGTATAATACGTGAAACAGTCCAAAGTACATTGTCTTTATTTTGCAAGATCACATTTCTTTTGCTGTTTAAGTGCTGAGGTGTCCTACAGTCTCTCGTCTCCATGGTACATAAAGGTATGGTGGCTTTTCTTTTGTTCTGGTCCACTGCAAATATTTGCACACTGGGAAATGTTTTAGCTCTGCAGACCAATACATCAGCCATCTGCCTAGAAAAGCCCACGCCTTTCTGCTTTGAGACGGATACATAGAGGGAGGATCCTGTTCTGTAGGCTTCCAGATTCTTGTGCCTCACCTCTCTGACGTTAAGTCCACGTTTGTTTGACTACGCTTTGTCTGATTACAACAGATAACTCCCAACAGTGAAATAGGTATGAATATGTGAGCAGGTGGCAATAGAGTTTGTTTTCCAGAATGTATTGTGGTCGTAGTAAAGGGAGAAGCCAGAAGAATTTTACACAAAACATTTGCTTCCATAATGTATATATGTTACTACTGGGATCCATAGGTGTAGAACGCAAGATCTGAATTCTGTAGAGTACGTAATCTACACAGGTAGGCTTTCACAGCATTAGATCCTTATATAATAACTGAATGATTCTTTGTAAAAATAACTGCTGCTCTCACACAGAAGTTTCCTGTCTTTTCCTCTCCTTCTTTAGCTCTAAGCTGAACAGCAGTAGTTAAATAAAGCTGGTTGTTGTAGATCCAGTTGACCAAGAAACAAAAGGAACATTTTTCCAATGAATATGAAGAGATGTAAGCAAAGCATGTGAATAAAGATCTGCCCACTATTATTGTGACTGTTGTTGCATGCCAACAGAGAAGGGAATAGCATCTCATGCCACTCACTTGAGAAGAAAAAAGGAGGAAAGAATAACACTGGGTCTGCTATAGCACAGGCTACAAATATATTATCTTGTTCCTGACCAGAAAGAATTTAATCTGAGGTCTGTGTTTATGTTCCATCAGGAGAAATATTACCTAGCAAAGATGAGAGGGCAGAAATATAGTAGCAGCTGTCAAATTGAGGATGAATGTTAAGCTAAGCCATGAACAGAGAAAGTATTGTACAACATCCACAGTGTTTTCTACCTGAATATCTAGCTCCACCAAAAGGACTGGATCTGAATCTTTAAATATCACAAGGATTTAGTCCTATTTCTTGAGGCTACAACTGAGAACAGATTTCAGCCTGATACCTATAAGGATCTGAGAAGTGAAAGGAGAGAAATCCCATTTTCATTTAAGCCTGTGATAAAGAATTCTCTAAAAGCAGATCAGTTATGATTTCAACTAAACGGTCTCACTGAATCGTGACTGCTGAGTTACTGTGTTGTGTGCCTATGTATGCTGTGTCTTCCCTCTCCTTAGTATAGTAATGTAATTTGGGTCTGATCAGTGGCCAGCAATCAGCTCAAATTCCGGCCACAGATATATGCATTTGTTTCTTCTTCAAATGGGAAATGAGTTAAAATGCTCATCCACTGTACAATCCCAAAGGAGCCCTCAGCGTATTTGTATTCTTTTGCTTTTTTATATGTGATGCTTCCCTTCCTACACTGGAAAGCTAATGGAGCACAAATGCAGCCTTCCCTTAAATATCCACCTAGAGCCTGGAACCTTCATATTCTGGACCTTAAATAGGTGAAGGAGGCACTGCCTTATAGAATAAATAGCTCACATTTTATTTCCTACCCAAGTTAGAACAGGAGTTGTTTCAAGTCAGTGTTTTTCATGACCTCATCCAATAATTCTGAAAGCAAAGAGAGGAAAAATCTGCAAAAGAATAAGAACTTTCTGCCTACTTTTTGTTTATATTCTGAATCTACCATACTTCAGTGTTTCAGAAGTTGTTCTGTCCTGTGCTTCTCTCCAAAGTAAATCTTCTCTTGACCCTATTTTGCGAATGCTGCCACAGATATCCTGTGTCATCTCTGGCAGCTTGCTCCATCCTTTTCTCCTGAACACCTCTGACATGCTTAAGATAGGGAGTGCCCACAAGTCTGGGAAGTGTTGTCAAATCTGGAATAGATATGAACATAAATGAGATAAACACAGAGGGGATGGAATTACTAGTTTAATTTTGTTTCCAGCATTTTCCCTTGATTATCAAGAAAATATACTGCTAAGACGAATATATATTTTTTCTTTTATTATTTGTTCCACAGGTCATTTATCACCCTCTGTTGGAGTATACATCCAAATTTCACATAGCTATGAAAACAGGTGCAATATATTTCTTTTATGACACATTAATACTCAGTATTGTAAGTTACTATAGTTGTCCTGCAGAGGGTTATCCTTCATACATGCGTTTAGGTGACGTCAGAGGAAATGGCAGGTAACAGAGAAAAGTGACACTTGTGCCTCGCACAGAACATCACATTGTTGCACTTTTTCCAGATGGATGACTTACGACTTTGCTGTAGTGAAGGAGCATATCATAGGCATAGGAAAATATTGTTACATAAAATAGATGTCTACCCTTCCATATGGTGATCTTGGGAGACTTTGTGTAAAAGAGTTTGTATATGCAGATTCCCTCACCATGCTTCCACTATGATGTTTGTATTGGGAGCTACAGAAGGAAGGACCCTTTGAAAGTGCCATTTAAAAGAAAAGGGCTAGGAAAAGCCTACTAATTTTTCCCGTACCAGACTTTACAAGCATGACTAGCCTCAGGTGTGGAGTTCCAGAATTATCTCCTTCCATCTCTCTTGCATCACTGCATTTTTATCATGGCAAAACCTGTAGTTGCTATTTGATGACTATCACCTCACAGAAACCCCATGTTCAGCAAGAAATATGTTCTGTTTTCAGCTATCAGAATAATAACTAAAGAGTGATACAGAAGAAAGCAAACCCTAGATCTGAGTTTTCTCTATTAGGTATTCCAAAATCTACAGCAAAAGCCTTCCGTCTGATTTGCCAGCAATATTCCTTTAATGAGAAATAAGCACATAAAATTGTGTCATACTAAAGATTCACAAGCTACATGAAATAAAAAATTGGAGGTGAGACGTAGCTAATAACTTACATCATTGTATTGTAAATAGACATCAAGTATTGGCTATAGCTCTTAATTGGAAGTTGTAGCTGACAATAAAGCTACTGTTCAATTGATAATATACAGCTCAGTTGCTTGCACCTTAAACCATCACTTTCAGTTATTCAGGTAGCTAACTCCACTTCAAAGTGTTTGATAGATTTCTTCTCTGTTTCCCAAATTGTAATGGTAGCCTCCTTTATTTCCTCTTCAAATCATACTTTCTCATGAAATCTGGTTTACCTGGTTGGTAAGAGTTCAAAGAGATAGCAGAGAAAGAAGCTAAATAAATGCTTTAAAATGTTGGAATTCTTGGCGCAGCTTCACCTTCTAGAGGCTATGAACATTTCACTGTTGCTTACAATTCTGTCTGAATGAGGCGTAGTGCTTTCTTCATGTTCTCTATTACTGGAAGAAAAATAAGTAACTGTAAAATATATTCAATGCATTTTGATTAGTACATTCTTCACATTGAAATTAATGCAGGATTATGTATTTTAGTGGTTCCTATAGTAAATATTCCGGCATTGATACTAAAGCTAAAGGCAAAAAGTGTTGTGAATCAAAACATTTAACTTAAGGAGTTGAGTATTGTCGAATCCCTTTTGCTTCAGCAATCAAGATAATCAGATGTGACATGCATATTTGATGTGAGATACTGCATGGGTTTCAGATAGATGGTACAGAGTACTAGTTCAACCTGAAAAATCACATTCCTTTTTGAAATATGGGTAACACTTTTTTTTTTTTTTTTTTTTTCCCAGTCCCCTCCCACCTCTGCCTATTAACATTGCGTAGTTGGATACCTTTGAGCACAGTGACTCTCACCATTCACCAGCAAACAGCTCAGGTCTTGGTCCTGAAATTTCTCATCCATGATCTTTCAACTCGTATCACCTGAGTAGACCCAATAAATCCATTGGGACAATAGATGTGCTTAAGTGTTTGCTGGAACAGGTTAGACGCTGTAAATTACTGTTAAGTGCTCGCAAACATTCTTTATTCATTACTTCGAGATCTTAACTGATTCTCAAACACAGACGATTGGCATGGTGTGCATCTGGCTGCTTACAGTACGAAATGCAGAGTAACACAACAAAATAGGCACTTACAGAACGGTATGTCTTGTGGTTCATAAGTGTACAGCCGATTAGAGTATCTTCCTGTGATATCAGCTCTCACCGTGAGAGATGGGTCTGAAAAAGAAACTGTGTTAATCGCTGCTTTCCACAACAGCGGAGGGCGATGCCCATAGCACAGCCCTGTTTTTGAGAAGTTCTGATTTTGCCAGCCACAAAGTGCGAGGCTGTTACGCTCTGTTCCAACCGTTTTTTATGTGGAGAAATCTTAAACAAAAGCTAATGCTCAGTTTTATATTACACAGCTATTTTTATGAGATTGGTTATGCATATGTTTTGTCCATACTTGAAGAAAACCATCCTGTTTTACAAGTTCTGGGGTTACTCTGGGAGAGGCAGTCTGACTGGATGCACAAATAATGAGGGTCATGCATAATTAATGTAACATTATCATGTTACCTAGAGACCAGGACTAAGGTCTTGTGATTCTTATTGTTTCCATTACAGGAGAAAATGGTTGTAAATACTGAACTAGTTCCCCTGCCGGGCTTTCTGTTAACTAATCACCTGACTTCTTTTACTACCTTGCTCTGAGCAGGGGCTTCATCTCACCTACCTCTGATGCCTGTACAGTTAGTGAAAGGGAACATGAACTGTGGGGCATGATTTACTTGATATATTTCAGAAGTCAACTTTACAATGCAGTAGATCATTGCTTAGATTCTGTTGACTGTTGACTTGCTCTGTGGTAAGGTCTGCACTGTAGATGTGTACAATCAGTCTGATATTTGACAGCTCTGTTTAAGCTTTGTTCCTAACTGCACTTGCAAAAGCACAGAGAGCTAACAGGGGCTGACAGATGCTCAGATGCTAACAGATATTTAAGCACCTTGCCCCCAAATGCAAATGAGGTACCCTCCAGAACATACCTATAACCTGAGGAAGTTTACAGGGGCTGAAGCCTGTGAGAGAATGGGAACTGAACTCAGGTGTGCCAAATTCCATACTATTGCCATGGTAAAGACAAATTCTGAGCTATTTTCTTTTTGCAAAATAATTTGTCTTGATGTTTCTGGAGAATGACACTGGCATAGATTCAGAGATCACATCTTCAGAAGATTCATAAGTACTGTACATACCTATGAACATGATTCGAGGCACGTATTGTCCATCAGGTGACAGGTTTTTATCTGTGGTTTCATGCTGGCAGAGAAATTAAAGCTAATTATTAAAATATTCCTATAAATTTAGCTGAAGTAGCATCACTTGTGAACAGTCTTATACCAGAAGACAAAAATACAGACGGTGTACATACACACATAAATGCATATATGAGGGCTGCTCTGAAAGTAATGCTTCCTATTTTATTGTGTTGGTCCATGTCATCAAAGATGGATGCTGGTGATGTGACAGTAGAAGCTAAACCTTCGCACCAGTGTTCCATTACATTTTGTTGCAACAGATGGCAGTAGAGACAGTCTGACAGAATGGCATCTGTTGAGAAGTGCATGAGAGGCAAAGGTGTGTTCCATGCAGAAAAAATTACACCTCTTGACATTCATTAACACTTGCTGAACTGTTATGGACAAAAACAGTGGATGTGAGCACAGTGAGGCATCAGGTGGTGTGTTTCAGCAGTGGCAACAAAAGTATGAAAGACAAGCAATGGTCTGGATAGCCATGCAGATTTTTATGGCTGTGGCATGCAGGCTCTTGTTTATTGCTGGTGAAAATGCATAGCTAATGGTGGTGACTACGTTGAGAAATAGTTGTTTTTAGCTGAGAATTTGCTTTATCAAACAGTGTAATTGTACCTTTTGTATTGTTGTAATTTCCATGGAAATAAATGGGAGGCATTACTTTAAGAGCCATCTACATAAATATGTTTAACTGAAATGCCAGATATACTTAGCAAAAATATGAAAAAGTAAGACAAGAAAACACAGACCAAAAAGAGATACCAGACAAACCTCCCCAAACCCTTCTTACCATGAGATTCAGCATAATGAAACTATCTTGGGCCATTTCTTGTATCTCTTCATTTTCAGCAAAAGCTTTCTTCAGTGCTAGAAAAGACAGAAATATTTTTAAGTCCATTGTAGATGTTGCCTTTCCTTCAGTGTTTAGGCACCGAAGACTGGTCCCATCATTCCTGCCTCTGCTCATTTACATTCCTAGGAGACACTTTTGGGATCTATCATGGCTTTATGGTTTTTGATCTGTGTGTCAGTGCAACCTTCTAGCTATGAAAATGGAAGCTCTTTTCTGTCATTTACGAAGCCTGTAGTTTCAGCAGATGATGTCTCAGTTTGACAAAAGTGCATTATTCTCAGAAAATTCATTTTCAGTTGTCTTGTCCTTATCTCCTTCTCAAGTTACCATTTCAGGAAAGCCAAGCATTGTTAAATATGTTCGATGAGTCAGTAGCAAATATGTGTCTTTAAATTGACAGGTGTTTAATCAGAGATAGCAGGACAGTAGCACTAAACGTTTTTCATGTTCATTTTTTGAGTAGATTCACAATGACTTTTTTGTAAATAACAAATTCTTAGCTTTTCAACTACAGTTTCATGCACTTAAGGATTTTTGAGTAAATTCAACAAATATATAAATAGTTGTTTTCTTAAAAAGATGTTTACAAAAATTTAACACTGAAAAAATCAAAATTACCTTGGCAGTATTGACAGTCTTCCAAATGATGAATGACCATCAGTGGCTTGTTACTTTATTAATAATAATAAAACATGTAGTTAGTTTATTTGAAAAGAATGAAAATAAGTGATTTTGCTAGTAGGTTGGAAAAGACAAATTGCATTTCATTTCCTGTTAAATCTCATTGAAACCTAACAGGCATTCTGTGAGGGATGGTAGACATTTCTGTGCAAGAAAAAAGGGATGCTAGAGAAAGAAATAGAGAAGTGGAGTTCCTGTGTCTAGATAGCTTTTCTAAAGTAAAAGTCTACAAGAATGGTAGAGTGGTCTGCTGTGATGGTGTTTTTTTTTTTTTTTTTTTTTTTTATTTCATTACAGTATATTGAGGGGTGACAATATAATTAATAAAAGTGTCTTTCAATACTATTTTTTAATTTCTTACCTTTTTTTTGCTTGATAAAGCCCTTCTTCATAAGTTTGTACCCATGTTATTTCATCTCCCCAACCTACAAATATAATAAAATGATTAATGCTTGGCTAGGTAAGTAATTCATAAGAAACTACATTTCTTACCTTGGTCAATAGCTGTACACAAATAGATTTTTGTTCAAAGCTTACCAAGCGTTGTAGATATATTAATCCTACATCTGCTAATAAATGTATCAGAATATTAAAAAATAAACCAACAAAACAAACAAGCAAAAGCAATCAAAATACCTCAGCTGACTGACTACCCAGTGCAAATCCTTTGATACACTCAATAGAACTCTTTCTGAATACTTAGTGCTCCCTAAATTGGTGACAAAATTCTTTATACCTTCATATTTTCTCTTCATGTTGTCTGCTCTGTATTTCATTTCGATGCTGGGGGCTTAAAGAGAAAGCTGGCTCAAAAAAGTGAGAGAGAAAATTTAATACAACAAATGAAATAAAATCAATTTTAACGTGACTGTTCTTAAATGAGTTTTAAGCCTGACTCCTGAGTTAAGAATTTCAGTCTCTGGAGTTGCAAGTACTTCAGTTAATTAAATAATTTAGTTAAAGAAAGGCTGTTAGATAAAAATCTCCGTCAAAATAAAATCCTAATGAGTCTTCAACTTCACTGCTCATCCCCTGAACTCAAAAAGCAGATTGTCTTGTTGGTTTCGTACCTTCAAATCCCAAAGATGCCAGCCCCTGTGAAGTAGCTCCCCATCTTCTTGTCAGTGGGGCATTTGACTGGGATGCTATAGACCATCCCTTCTTTCAGAAGACTTAATTCATTTTCACATCTGTCTTATTTTTGATGGGGTTCTAGCTTGTTTGACCAATGGGTTCCCTGGCTGAAATCAACTGTTGACATAGACAATGGCAGAGAGGAGTCAGTTGGGTTAATTTTACAGCAGGAGTAAGTATTCCCTCTCAATCTGTTATAATTGGAGGTAATGTTCTGAGTGGGAAAAATTAATTCTGATCTAGTCAAGACAGGCAATAGATGCCAGACTGGATATAAACTTTCTCCACGGGTACCGCTTGTGGAAAGTGATTTGACACTTCTCTTTGTTTTGTCTAGGGATGAGACAATTTTATATTGTATATACAATGGGTTTCATATGGAAAAGCACTTATTCTTGTTTTTGCTATTTTATGAAGCCTTTTGACTTCCCTTTTTTATATATATATATATATATATATATATATATATATATAATATGGAATAATTTCAAACTTCACTAAAACTATACTTCCTACAACTGATCTGTTTCAATGCTGCCTAAACACCCCTCAAGAAACTGGCCTCAGATGGGGCTTTTGTGAATGCAGGGCTTTGTCAAGGCTTCATGTGGGAGGAACTCAGAGGTGAGCCATGGATGCTTTGTAGGCTTTGCACAAGTTGCAGGGGAGCTCAGGGAAACAGCTGGAGATATTCTGAGGCGATTAGGTGTGAAAAGAGAAGGAAGGCTGAGAAGATGGAAAGAGCTATTTTTCTATACAATTTCCTTGTTCAGACATAAAAATGTTAAAATACAGTCTTCCTTTAACATCCAGGTGGAAAATTATGCACCACTAAGGAAGTGTGAGTGTGACTATCTGATAAGAGGGAAAACAAAAGGAAATTAAGGACCAGTCAGTAAATAAATAAATATCCCTAATGGTTGAGACTCTGTGGACAAAAATGGATCTGTAGAAAAAATTTCATTTGAGACTGAAGTTATGAAATTGTGTTTCAGTAGCTGTAAGTTACCATCTCAAGCTGTCTACTAACAGGTGTGTGAAAAAATATTTTTCACTGAGAGTTCTTCAAGAGCAGCCAGGTTCCAGAGACTCAATTTGAGTTATTTGATTCTAACAGGTCACTGTGACTGACATAAATTAGAAAGATTATCTGAAGCCTTCAGCCATATTCTTAAGAACAAACTGATGGAATGAAATGAGAAGGAGGAAAAAGATGCACTATTTAGTGTGTGACTAAATGCTGAAGAATCATGCCTCAGTAAGCACATACATGCTTTAAATAACATACATGGTAAGATCAGCAGGTAACTACATAAAATACCTCTTGATAATGTCTGAGGTGCTCTTCTTTCCTTTTTGATTGCCATAGCAAGGTTGGATGAGACTGCAACTAGCAGGAGAGACAAAGCCAATGTTGAATGGAGCATTATTTCTCTAAAAAGTTCCTTTTCAGTGCAACAAGGAAACTGGAAAACAAAGCAGCATCTTTAGTTGTATGGATTCATTACCTAGTGCAGTGTAAATCAACTTGTCATTCTAATGGTCTATGCTATGGACAGTTTGGGTAATTGCTACAAACATTTTATTGTTTTTTTTTTTTTAGAGCAGTAAAAATAGATAATCTTATGCAGTGCTGCTTAGAGCAATCAAACTTCAGAGGCAAGAGATAGTTTTCTCTACTCTGTGATCAGGGGAGCAAAGTTTCTACTTTTGGTCATCCACCATTTCATCCTCATGAAGCAGTACAATATTTTAATACAGGATCATGAAAATTTCAGGACAGTGCTACTATTTTTTTTTTTTTTTTTTTTTTGCCCTTTTATTTTTAATTACTGTAAACCATAACAGCATTTTACATATAGTAGGTTTTTTGGTCTAAAAAATGTGCTGTAATAAAACCCTTAAGAAAATTATTATTTTAAATTGCTAACAAAAATTGATAGCTTAATTTTGTGAACTAGAATGTTAAAATAGTGAGATAAATTTCAAACAAATGTTCTGATTTCCAGATGTTTCTTACAGTAAAACTCAAAGTTTTTCTCTTCTTTATGGTGTTTAAAAATTGATTTCTAGCTCAAATCCTGCTTAAAAAAACCAACCCACCCATGTCCCAGTCTGCTTTTGTATTCTCAAGGTGTTTACTTTTCTTCCTGATAAAAATCACTCCAAGAAGTTCAGTAACTTCTGTTCTTGATGAAAGTCAGAGAACAAAAGTTAACAGTTGAGGAAAGATAACACAAAGCCAAATACATCTAATTTTTGCCCAGTGCAATAATATTCAGGTAATTAAAACTCCAGTTTTCAGATTGCACTGAATTAGAAAATGCAATGCACACAGCCCAGGATATCACTGAGCCAGCTTGCTGATTCTCTGGAGATTCATTTTTCAGAGAATCACAGACCGGATTAAAATGCTCTCCGGATGAGAGACTGAGCTATAGGAGTTACCAGGATGACCTGTCAAGAAAGTCCTTTGACTTTAACACACAAAAATTCAAATCTTCCTCTAAAGCACATTAGCCTGTATTTATGACAAATTTTTCACATTGAATTTAGAAGTGACATCCAGTGTGCAGTTACAGCCTTGAGTGCTGGTGAAAGTGAATTCATGCTTCCTACGGCAGAGGCATAGAAAGTGCTGTAGGTTTTGTCTTTGCTTTAGTGAAATTCTCAACACTACAAACATCACTGTTAGGTGTTTAATTTCTGATGAACAAATTCAAAGGCTACTTTCAATAACTCAGCACAAGAAAAGTATTCTGTTCAAATAACTGGAGAAAAAATGCACTTTCATAAGCAGAAAAAATGAAGTACGCCATATTGCTGCAATTCTGCATTTCTGAAGAATTGTGATTGGGTTATAATAAATTCATCAATTATAATACTTTTCCTCCTCAATCTGGATCATCATCATTCTCTTTCTCCCCCATGTTATATCACAGCTCTAGAGCTATTCTTTGTTTCACATAATTTTCTCCTTAGGCTTGATCATATTATCTGTTGTTAACTGAGTTTAGAAAGTATCTCCTTGGGGCTTTGTAAATCTGCACATTAATATGATGTTTGGAGATTATGGAATTCTAATAAAGAGATGTCAGTTCCCAGTGTTTCATAAGGAGAGACTCCTACTTTTAGGTAAGCTTGGAAACAGAAATTTGTGAGAATAGGAATTCCATCCAAATTTCCCCCACGTTGGTACAAACCACTAACTTCAGTCAGCAAAATCAGATCATGATACCCCACTACTTTACTTCTGATAAATCATTTATAGCAGCTCTCTGTGAAGCTTAGTGACTATCCTCAGCTTTAGTTTACCTGTCCAATGTTAATAATAAAATACAGCATTTCTATCATATCAAAACTCCATTTAAGCATTAATAGTTATGGCTTTGAAATCATACCAAATATGTCACTAAATCAGTATGGAATGAGTGAATCAGTTCTGTCTTCCGTGGTATATTAACAAAAAATCAAAGTGCAAATCTCTTCAAGTCACACAGTTATTTAACTGAAGCGTAAATAATTGATTATCATCATAATGAAAATCCACAGGGTTTTGGAGGGATAATTTACAAAGATGCAACTGAACAGAATTCAGTATTCTAAATCTTTGATGTTATGTTCTGCGATGATAGTTGGTTGAGTAAATTAAAAAAAGGCAGCCAGCACCATAAATGTTGCCTTTATCTATCCATCAGAACAAACGTTTTGCTAACTAATCTCTTACCAGTTATCATTTGTCTGTTTTATATTACTTGCTACATGTTTATCAAACAAAACTCATTTCTGTATTAAAGTTGATAATAAGAAATGTTTTCTCACCAGCAGTGGTTAGTTCTCTTGATGGAAAGTCTTTTTCCTGAAATTAGGTAAAAGTCAGTGTGCTTTACACACAGAAGATCTGAACTATCCAGGTCTCTCTGTAACAACAGCAACCTGGGAAATATGAGAGAGATCTTTTAGCTGGAGACTAAGTTAATGCACTTCCACCCTCCCCCTTCCTTTTCTGCCATCCCTCCAACTTTCACTCTTGTGGTTCCCATACTTGTACACTGAATCCTTGGATTTCTCTTCATCTTGGCTTGTATCAGGTGTCTTGTGTGAGGATTGAAAAGAAATAGTAGCTTATGTGTGTCTGTTGCTTCCCCCCTTAGACAGTTTATGTCTGGCTTATGCCCAATGAAAAAAGAAACCACCAATGAAAGCTGGAACTGTAGGGGCTTTTGTTTCCAGTGAATGGCTGGGTTACTGGTGCCTGAAGATAGGTATGAAGCTAATAGGAAGACACAAGGGTTACTTTGTGTAGAAGAATGTAATTAACAAATAAAAGTAACTTATTTTTGAGGGAGAAATAAAATACTTTATCTAAAGGGTATGGTTTAGTTGTTTTTGCAAGTCGTGCTTTAAAAGTGGTCTCATTCTTTGGATGTGATGCTTGATATAATTTTGACTTATCTTGATAAATATGGGAAAAAACCTTTAATTCATTCTCTTTGCACAGAGAAGGAATTATCTGGCTCACTTTTTCCCTCTTCATTGGATAACCTTTGCACAGTTTATGGGGACTGTATGCTTGAAGTTTTTCCTCCTTTTCATGTAAAGCCCGCCTTCTTTTTTAACTTGGAAGCTTTAATCTATTGATGTTTGTTGTCACTTACATGTGTGATTATTTATGTGTACTTCGTGTGTTATATTTTTCTATTCAAGAAACCTTTTCAGCAAGGCCTCTGAAATTTGAGCACAAAAGCTTACCTTTTCAGATGCTACCTGTGATTCTCTCCTTTCTTCCTCATAAAGATTTGCTGCTACTAAAGATCAGCTTTTTGTTTCCAAACAGGCCTTTGTGACCTTTTGTTTTTGGTGCTCAATTATAATTCCATTTTTTGATAGAAAATTCAAACTAATGCTTCCTGTTAACTGGAAGATAGGCAAAATGCAAGAACTCTGCTTGTCAGGGCGCGAATTCAGACACTGCAGCACTCAATGTGATAATCATGTCAGATCTGTTAACTGGGGGAAATTTGTCCAATCCTTTAGCTGAATAGACATCTGAATTTGTTTAGTGCTTTGTATGAGAATTCATACTATGAGAATAAAAGATAAAAGAGGCAATTAAGTACTCAAGGGAATTTCTATGAAAAAGAGATGCCCCAGTGGCAATCTTCCCTTTTTGTTTTGTCACTGGTTATAGCTTCTACTCACAAGAGTAGGTGTGGAATCTTGGGAATTACAGCAGACTCAGAAGAAATAACTTGGTTCATAAGTAAAAGAAAGTATATTTAATCCATATGAGAAATAACATTTTCTGTTTTGATGGTTTAAAATGTCCTCTTTGAGTGCCTGCAGAATTGAAATCTCCTGTCTGTGCTCTTGTATCTTTAGGTTCCATGGAGATGGATTTCTTCCTGGGTTCCAGGGCAGGTATGAAAAGATAATGAGGTGGAGCACACCACTGCTGCAGTAATGAAAGGGAGTATTCAGACTCTTTAAAAATCTGTTTTCTCCTTCGGCTTCTATGATTTGGACACTTTAATGGATCTACCAGTTAAGAAACCCTAAATTTGAAAACATAGCTTAAAAAGAAAATGCAGTTTGATCACATTAAGCCCTGACTGCCTTTCTTGAGCATATGAAAACAAATGATTTGACCCTTTGTTTTGTAAACCAGTCAGTGTCAGCTTTCTCCATTATGACAGAAAGACAAAAGGTTCCAGGGCTAAAAAGAGAAGCGAAAGTGCTCAAATGTCATAATTGGAAGAAAGAAAAGGGAACGAAGGAAAAAGGCTGTGACAAATTGCTCAAAGATTCCCTTCCTTGTTCTCCCAATGAGTTGATTCTTTAAGGTCCGAATATTAATTCTGATAGTGCTGTTGCTTTTTTAGGATTTGATTATTATATTTGTCCACATATTCCCTTTCAACCCACTTGACCCCTTCAAATGAAGTACAGACCTGAGCAAATGATGTTGCCAAGCTTGGCAGTGAAACACAGCTAAATCTGCAGGGCCAGGGGCCAAATCATAATTGGAAAGCTGTCCAATACTTCTGCAGTTTGGAATAGCATGCCTGTAAATATAAATGTAGTTTTTAAATATAATACCCATTCAGAAGAGCGTGAATAGGCAGCCTAAAATAATAATCATTGAAAAAAGTAGGATTAATAAGTGCGAGTCCTTGGGTATGTCTTACCTAAAGATGGTACCTCCAGCCAGTGCTGGCTGGCAGTGAGGCTGAGCACTGTGGGCTGATATGGAATGTTCAGCATTGTTTCTGCAACTTCCATCTGTATCTCCATGAAAGGCTTACACGTGCCTAAGGTGTCTTCATAGATCAATGTAAAATTAATTAGCACATTATAATAATGCAATTCCCAAGCAAATTTTACAGTAAACTGCAGGAGAAAGCTTCACAGAGCACGTATTCTTGTG